CGGTAAGATACGACAGAGTGGACTCCAGCACAGCTCGTAGATCACCTCCTTCCATTTTGTCGAAGATGAGGAAAAACGTGTCCCCTGTCCTGTAGAAATCAACAAAGTTCAGGATGTTTTCACAGTTCTTGTAGCGACGGCAGGTCTCGATCTCACTCAATACTCGACGGAGTCGTTTCTTCTGACAGTTCCTCATAACTTTGACGGCATATTCTTTGCCCGTTTCCTTGTGTCTGTATGTGGAGACAGAGCCAAAGCTCCCCTGGCCCAGCTCTTCTCCCGTAGGCTCCAACAACGCACAGAAACTCTCGCCGTTCGTTTGTTCTTCACTTTGTCTTGGCGCCGGTTTGTTCGACTCGGTAGGGACTACTCCAGCTCTTGCACAGTCGCCGGCTGTGTTGTTGGTGGTTGTAGTAGGAGGTGTGACGTCACATATAGTAGGGGGGATGACGTCACATGTAGTAGGAGGTGTGACGTCACATATAGTAGGGGGGATGACGTCACATGTAGTAGGAGGTGTGACGTAAAACGTAGTAGGAGGGATGATGTCACATGTAGTAGGAGGTATGATGTCACTTGTAGTAGGAGGGATGACGTCACACATAGTAGGAGGTATGACGTCACTTGTAGTAGGAGGGATGACGTCACACATAGTAGGAGGTATGACGTCACATGTAGTAGGAGGCAGCATGACGTCACATGTAGTAGGAGGGATGACGTCACACGTAGTAGGAGGTATGACGTCACATGTAGTAGGAGGCAGCATGACGTCACATGCAGTAGGAGGGATGACATCACACGACCAGGCTACCTCTGTGTATGGAGCAGGGAACACAGCGCCAGTACAGGCCTCAGGCGTGATGCGTCGTTTGCTGTCTCCGTGATTTTGTGGACGTTTTCGTTTTCTGGAATCGGAAGATGCTGTTCCCGTGGACGTTATATCCTTGTCTGTCTTTGTTGTGGGATGATCTCTGCCGTTGCTGGCGATGTCTGTGTTCGTTGTAAGGAGTAGACTGGCAGTACAGCTAGTATCCGGGTTTGATGAACAGAACTCAGTGTCACTGCTGCTAGCTTTATCAGGATTTGACGAACAGAACTCACTGTCACTGCTGTTAAATTTATCCGGATTTGACGAACAGAACTCACTGTCACTGCTGCTGGCTTTATCCGGATTTGACGAACAGAACTCACTGTCACTGCTGTTAGATTTATCCGGATTTGACGAACAGAACTCACTGTCACTGCAGCTGGCTTTATCCGGATTTGACGAACAGAACTCACTGTCACTGCTGTTAGATTTATCCGGATTTGACGAACAGAACTCACTGTCACCACCGTAACTGCCAGAATCCTTCGACTGTTCCGCTGAGCCCTCGAGCTGCCTCCGACTAAACGCCCAAAACTCCATGACTGGTGAAGATCCTGATCCCGGCAACATGGCGGCTGACGTAGACTTGACCCAAGACTTGGACAAACGGCGCCGGAGATGATGGGAAGACAGAGGGTATACACAGACAAGCTGCTTGTCGTTTTGACGTAGAACCAAATAAATGTCAGGAGCTTGGAAAAGTGCAGGCGAAATCTCTCAACCAACGATGTTTCAGAACACCAACAAAAAGTTCAAAAACGCTCAAAATGTAGCAACTGTGAGGCAGCAACAAGCATAGCGATGTGCGCTCCTCTCTGTCCGGCCTCAAAACTGACGCTATCCACGACTAGATGACCGGTCAAGTCTTTGGGAGAAATTATTTCATTTTTTTTCTTTGTCTTAATCCACGTGACTCGGCTTATGTCCGTTTTGAAAACGAGGGGAGGAGGGGATGACGGAGGGAGGGGGGGGGGGGCAAGTCATTTTCCTTTGTGATTAAAGAAAATTCTAGCCGTCCGTACAGGCGTCAAGTATTATGTGAGTAGCGTATTACGTCATCATTGTTAAAGTTTGATTGTTTCACTTTCACACCTCGCCGCCCGCCTCACAGTCTCACTGCCCGGAGCGCTGATGTCATAACTGTGTGTCGTCTTAATCCTTAACTTAACCCTGTCATGCTGGACATCACTGGACACTCATGGCTCTCATCATTATAATGGTGTTGTGTTGTTGTTGTTGTTGTTGTGTGTGTGTGTGGGGGGGGGGGGGTAGTTAAATTTTAACGGCCCCCACAACAAAATATGGTCATATATGCCCAAGATTTCAGGTGGGAGGGGAGGGGACTAATCCTTTTACCTAGTGCATTTAAAAAATGCTACCCTTCCTCTCAGGCCTCAACTATTCTGGGAGTAGCGTCAGATGTAAGAACGGTGTGTCCTCTTAATCCTTAACCCTGTCAGGCCGGACATCAACTCAACGATGTTTCAGAACACCAAAAGTTCAAAACGCTCAAAATTAATGTCGATTAATTCTTAACATGTGATGTCTTTTTCGATGTAATGCGCATTGGGCATTTTTTTTTCGAAAATGGAAAAGCGCAGTATAAATGCTCTCTATTAGTATTATTATTATTATTATTATTATTGTTATTATTATTATTATTATTATTATTATTATTGTTATTATTATTGTTATTATTATTATTATTATTATTATTATTATTATTATTATTATTATTGTTATTATTGTTATCATTGTTATTATTATTATTATTATTGTTATTATTATTGTTATCATTGTTATTATTATTATTATTGTTATTGTTATTATTATTATTATTATTATTATTATTATTATTATTATTGTTATCATTGTTATTGTTATTATTATTATTATTGTTATTGTTGTTGTTATTATTATATTATTATTATTTTTATCATTATTATTATTATCATTATTATTTGTATTATTATCATCACTGGACACTCACAGTTCTCAGTAATATAATGGTAATTTTTTTTAAATAGTAAAAGTTTATTGGCCCCTGCAACAAAACAAGGTCATATAAGTGCCGAAGATTTGAGGTGTTGCAAGATTGTTTAGTTTTAGTAAGAATGATAGTTTTAGTAAGAATGTTACAGCACTTGCAACACAATAAGGTCATACAAGTGCCGAAGATTTGAGGTGTTGCGAGAGAGTAACAAACACAAAAAAGAAGGAGGGGAGATAAGGCCGATAGATGTTTGAAAGGAAA